TTTATCACAAGACTGTCCATTTTGGAATTCATTGCTTCTTTCCGTTTCTTTGAATCATCACTTGTCATTGCCTCCTGAAAATTTTTTGGAACAGTAGCATCACAGTAATTTACACTTATACTGTAATAACCAAATTCTTCATCAAAGCGGAGTGGATGTTTAATTTGTCTTCCTGATCTTTTTCCTTTTGTTTTTTCTTCATCCTCTTTTATCTCATCATTACTATTTTCTTTATGTGTATTGTCTTTTTCCAAGTCTTTTGTCATATCCTTTTCTTGATGGTTTGTACTAGTAGAGTCTTCTCCTTCCTTTTCCTTTGCTTGATCTGAATCCTTTTGTCTTTCTTCTTTATCTTCATTCTTTTCCTCTTTCTCATTTTCAAATCCACACAAGTTTACATTCTCTTCTATTATGTCACAATGTCTAGCCATTATAACTCTGCTATTCATCAATACTCTATATCCAGTATCTGTATATCCAATCAAAATTCCAACCTCTGCTTTCTTGTCCCATTTAGATTTTCGTTTTTCTTCTGGAATTCTTACAAATACTTTACTTCCATATAATTTTAAATTTTTTACTGATGGCTTCCTTTTGAAAAATATTTCATATGGTGTTTTTCTCTCAATTGTATTAGTTAAGGTTCTGTTTTTAAGATATGCAGCTGTTTTAATTACTTCTGGCCAAAATCTTCTTTCAATTTTTGCTTCTGATAAAAGACATCTCCCCATATCCATTAATGATCGATTGTATCTTTCTGCAGTTCCATTTAGCTCATGCACATATGGTGGACAAGGTTTTATTATTATTCCCTTTTCCTTTGCAAACTTAAAAATTCTTGCATTCATATACTCCTTCCCATTGTCACATCGCAGTTCCTTTATCATCTTTCCAGTCAAGTTTTGAATTTCATTAACATATTGTACTAAGCATTCATATACTTCATCTTTTGTCTGGATACAATAAACTTTAACTAGTTTGCTATAATCATCTATGAAATTTAAGAAATATTTTTCTCCAAGATTTCCTGTAGTTTGATGTGGTCCATTTAGATCTGTATGTACAATTTCTAATATGTCTTCTGCTCTTCTCCTGTTATTATGAAATGGTAAGTTATGCATTTTGTTTTCAATACATGTAGCACACTTTAAATATTCTGGTTCAATCTCTCTGGGTAGTCCATCTAGTGATTCATTTTTACACATTATTTTCAAGTTGTTAAAATTGATATGTCCCAGTGTTCTATGTAGTTTTTCTTTTATAGTCATGTTGCTTTTACTCATGTTCGCTTGTGATTTTCTTTCATTGATATAACTTTTCATTTTATATAGTTTATCCTCTTTGATTGCAACAGCTATCACCTTTCCATATGGGTTGTATATTTTTGAAAATTTTCTCCTTGAAACAATTGAATGTTTATCTGTGATCCTCGAATAACTCAACAAGTTTGCCTTCATATCTTTTACAAAATAGACATTTTCCAACGTAACCTCAGACTTTTGTCCATAAACTGGGAAACAAGTTTTAATATTGCCAACTTTTGTAGCTTCTAATATTCTTCCATCACCAACTTTTACTTTTATAGGTTTCTTCAATGTCTCAGAGGTTTCAAAATACTCATCGGTGTTAATGATATGATCTGTGCAACCACTATCAAGTAACCATTCTATTTCATCTATCTTTGACTTTTCGTTTTTACTTGTAGTATTAATATAAGTATTATTTGCAATGGTAGTCTGAAAACTATTTCCTTGATATTCATGTATGTTTTGATGATAATTTCCTCGCCCTCTCTGAAAGTTTCTGGCATTGAACAATCCACGTCCTCGATAAACAGAAAAACCACGACTTCGACTACGATTTTCAATTTCAAAACGACAATTTCTTTTTAAATGACCAGGTTTTCCACAGCTGAAACATTTCAACTTATTCTGAAATGATGACCTGGCTTCTGCTCGAAATACATTTGATTTATCATTTGACTCTTCATTAAAATTTTCCTCTGCACTTTTTAACTTTATTTTGCTTTTCAAATAGTCAACAGTCCTCTCCTTTTCTGGTAAAACATCTATTAAATCACCAATATGACTATACTTCTGTGGTAGCGATTTTAACATGTAGTTTAATTTTTCTTGTTCTGATATCATTGCACCTGCCTGCTTTAATTCGTTCACAGCCTTCTCAAACGCGTCGAAGAATAAGCTTACATCTGAATAATTTTTCAATTTGATACTTTCAAGGTTATGTCGGCACACAATTTGCAGAGCTGTTGACTTTTTCAAATACATCTCATCAAACTTTTGGATAATTTCGTAAGCCGTATCAAGTTCGCTTATGTATTCTAGCTGTTTGTTAGTTATTCCGCTATAGATATAATTAGTCGCCTGGATATCTCGTTCATCCCATTCGTCATCATCGGTCTTAATTTTAGCCCTCATTACTACATCTTTACACTTTTTGAACTGTAAAAACTTAAACATACGTAATTTCCAGTTACTATAATCTGCTCCGTCAAATATTGTTATATTAATAGCACTGTTCTTCGCCGCCATTACCACGTGCGCTCTTTCTTTATTTTCTTAAATTATTTAACCCTTTTCACTTCTTGTTTTTTCTTTTCAACCACGCTCTGCTACCATGTTAAGACAAAAAATAAAGCATTACCTTTTCTCTTTTGTTTTAATCTTTTAATACTTAACTTTAATAACTAACAGAACTTATTTACAGCTTTGCAACCAGACAAAACTCTGACAACTAACAACTTTCAAATGTTGCCAGATATAAATGTACAATAAATAACAATATAAATGTACAATAATTAACAAGTATTGTAATGAAATATAACAAAAATAGATATACAATGACATTAAAAAATAAGTTCCGTTTATCAAAATTATGATTTATAAGATAGACCTACACCAGACCGGGTATAAAACATGTAATTATGAAAAATCTGTAGTGCGTCTAATAATTTGGCCAGGAACTGTAGTATAAAATTTATTATGTTATATTTCATTATTACATACTTTAACTTTATTATTTCTGTTATTTTTTTTACGTACTTTGTAGTTTTTATTATGTTAGATCTGAATTTGAATATCATCATGTTTCATATAGAATGGGTTTCTTAAAAAAATTTTTGATTAACCATATTTGTGGAAACAAAAATCTGACAAAGATCTTTGAAAGTGATTGAAAACATTTATCTATTTCAATAAATATACCTGCTGGAATAAGTATGGAAGGTGTCTGTATGTTATAATTAGAGTAGAGAATTATTTAAAAATCTATATAGAAAATGGAATAAAAAGTGTCTTTGGAATTAAAAGACACCAGTTCTAAAATTTCATAGCTTTCATATTGATATAAGAAATAGTATATAATCAACTATATCAAATATAGTATTCTAAATATCAAAATTGATATCAATAATAATCCTAAAATTTTTTTTTAAAGTCCAATGAATAATAAAATAAACCATAAGATAATTCACATTTAAACCTAGTTCTGAAATAAAATTCACATTTAAATTGAATATGTTCTTAAGCACTTTCAAGTTTTACTGTTCATTTTCAGAAGGAAGAATTTTGCAGCAGAAAAAATTTAACACAACAAAGAAAAATCAAATTTCAAAACATGTTTTAAAAATTTTGAATCTTTTTTTAGTATTTAAGATATGTTAATTTCTTTGTTTTTGCTGGAGTTTTTTGTTTATTCATTTTTTTCTTCAACAATATTATTCAGTTTCTTCATTGTTTATATGCTGGTATGTTAATTTTTTGTTGTAAAGTTTTCCTCTGTTGATGATAGCAATGCTTTAAAATGAAGTTATATTACTTTAATTTTTATAGAATTCATTACATAAATACAAAATTAAATATAAATTCTTAAAATTTGAATATTTATTCTAAATAAACTTAACTCCAATGAAATATTTTGTTATACAAATCAATAATTATGATTTGCCAAGCTTGTTCCACATGATCTTCACATTACTATTTGATTCGAAGTATGGAAAATTTTTAATTAATTTTCCATACTTTGTCAAAAACTTTTGATTTATCCAAACTAAATGACTCAACAATATTGGTATTGATGCTAACTGGTTCTCATTACAAAATATATCAAAAATAGTATAAGATATCATGTTTCATTTTTTATTTATATAAGGTAATTTTCTACTTAATAAAATTAATAGTCATTTACTTCTATAATCTTTGTCAATTACTTATTTAAACAAATTTAATGTACTCAATGATATATGTTGTTAATTGAGGTATTTACATAATGTACTTGATAAAGTAATTAGCAATGATTTCTGTAAACTTATAATTAATAAAAACTGTTTACATATAATTTTAATGAAATTTTTATCATTATTATTACTTTATATTCTAAATTTTAATAATAATAATTTGATATTTTTTCACTGCTTTAAAAAGATTCAAGAATAATTTTCTTAAATCAATTCTTAAAAATTAACTTTCTTAATTCAAGAAATATGTTTATTATAGGAATTAAACTATTCAATTTTAAAGCTAAATAGTTTTAATCCATATTTAATATCAAAACTTTATAATTATTATTTTAAAAATATGATTTTATTTTAAAAATATCTAAATGTATAAGATGATAACTGTCATTTTTAAAAATTAAAATAATTACAAATTTAAAACATAGTTTTAACTCCCTAATAAAATTTTAAATTTAAATTTGGCCTATGTTACTGTCTCATGTTATACAGTATAAAATATTAAAATTTGTTTCTAATTTATTTAAAAAGTGTTTAAATATTATTTTATTAAATTATTTTCTTTTTTTACTCTCAAATAATGATTTATTTATTTATTTATTAAAAACAAGTTCCTATATTAACTATAAGTAAACACTGAAAGACTTAAATAATATAGATTCTCCTTCTATCAATATCTTAAACAATGCTACTCTTCAAAATCATCAACTTCATAATTTTTAAATTTCTGAATTATCGAAGACAATACCTGAATGAGAATGATCTTCCGGCCACATGTCTCGTCGTGATCGTCTCTCTATTATCTTACCCACCTCTTCAGCTACCAGAGTAGGGCTACTAGCAACAGAACTCAAGCTGGCAGCATCTGTTCCTGGCAATCTAGAATCTGTACACAGATATATATATCAGCTACTTCTTAAAATTTTTGAGTTATTTGTCAATTCGAGTGGGTGAAGCAAACTGGCAAAACCAATATAAAGGAGTTGCATAAACAATCATGCATAGGAGAATGTGCTGGGAATAATAACTGAAAATTTTTTATTTCAATTTATCCCAAAATATCATTTTTTTCATGTCTTTGTATTATTTCAGCAACATGCATAGAGGATAAAAAAATTTTTAACATTTCAAAGACAAAGATCATGCTTTTCATCTTGTGCATTTAAGCTTAAATTTAAAAATTACATTATAAATTTATAAATACAACTTTTTCAGAAATAAAAATTTTTGTGTATAGAATATCTGTAAAGAGTATAATTAGATAAAGCTTTTTTTATTTTTAAAAATATATTTAAAATATTTGCAAATATATAAATGAAAATGTACCATTTTTTATAAATAAATCACTACAAATCTAACTTAAAAGTTAAAATCCTTTTTGATCTCAATGATCATGCTACATTCATATTCAAGGATCAAATATTATTTATAATATTTCAATAAAATTTGAGATATTTGTAAGTTTAGAAGATACAACAAATGAACAAAAGACAATAAATTAGATTTGAATTTGACCAGCTAATTATATGATTAGATAAGTATTAAATCTTGATTTCAAAAAGTTTATTTACATAGTTAAATATAATAGTACAACAGATAAGTTAATTAGATACTTATCTGTTAAAGCTTTACATGGCATATCACTTTCCAAGGTCATGGTGCACCACCCTCTGCTACATCATTTAGAGAAATGAGGTAGGCAGCTTAAACAGATGACTGAATAAATTAATTACAAACTACACTCAGATTCTTTGTATATTGTATATCAACCACACCTTATTAATAAACAAAGTCTCTCAGTAATAAGAATTAATTACATTTTATACAAATTAAAGTTTGAATTATGATTACTTTGATTTAATAATATTTAAATATCTATTTTTTGTTTATACAATCTGAATATTTGTTTTTTTTAAGAAATCAAACATAGGCCTACTCTGCAGTGTTTAATGCACAGTATTATGCAATAAGTCTTTGATTTTGGCATTTTTGTTGATAGAACATGTAAAGCTAAAGTGAGTATAAATGAAATAGGTTCATTTCTAGGACATATTATTCAGTCATTTTTGGAATTTTTCAATGTGTAAAGTTTTTCATATTCTACATGAATCTGATGTATTATATTTCTAATATTTAAGCAAGAAAGGTATTATTATAATGAATTTAAAGTGAAAAAGTCTAAAATATGGTGAATATATATATACAAAATGAATGAATGTGTGATGCTGGTATACAGACAAATAGTTGAAAAAGACATTCATTCAATTTGGATAAAAGTACAAAAAAAAACATTTTTCAATGTGGAACATCCAGAAAACAACTAAATTAGTATATTGCTGAATCAAAACTGAGATCACTTTTAATGGAAAATAAGTTTTATGATTATATATAATCATTATTAAATAATGGAAACCAATGAAATGACTTTCAAGTACAGAAAAGTACAAAGTTAAATTCCTGTACATTTTAATTCAAGAAATGTTAATTAATAAATGCAATGTGATAACAAGAACCAAACTAATTTTTTGTACTATTTAGAAAAAACATCCAATCAACTTGAAATTCATATATAAAGGTGATACATACTATGTTCTGTTAATAGACTATAAGTAGAAGATATGACCAATATGAATGATATTGACTTTAACTTTTATAAAACTAAGCATCTTTAAGTTAACNTTATTTTATTAAATTATTTTCTTTTTTTACTCTCAAATAATGATTTATTTATTTATTTATTAAAAACAAGTTCCTATATTAACTATAAGTAAACACTGAAAGACTTAAATAATATAGATTCTCCTTCTATCAATATCTTAAACAATGCTACTCTTCAAAATCATCAACTTCATAATTTTTAAATTTCTGAATTATCGAAGACAATACCTGAATGAGAATGATCTTCCGGCCACATGTCTCGTCGTGATCGTCTCTCTATTATCTTACCCACCTCTTCAGCTACCAGAGTAGGGCTACTAGCAACAGAACTCAAGCTGGCAGCATCTGTTCCTGGCAATCTAGAATCTGTACACAGATATATATATCAGCTACTTCTTAAAATTTTTGAGTTATTTGTCAATTCGAGTGGGTGAAGCAAACTGGCAAAACCAATATAAAGGAGTTGCATAAACAATCATGCATAGGAGAATGTGCTGGGAATAATAACTGAAAATTTTTTATTTCAATTTATCCCAAAATATCATTTTTTTCATGTCTTTGTATTATTTCAGCAACATGCATAGAGGATAAAAAAATTTTTAACATTTCAAAGACAAAGATCATGCTTTTCATCTTGTGCATTTAAGCTTAAATTTAAAAATTACATTATAAATTTATAAATACAACTATTGTTCTATGTAGTTTTTCTTTTATAGTCATATTGCTTTTACTCATGTTTGCTTGTAATTTTCTTTCATTGATATAACTTTTCATTTTATATAGTTTATCCTCTTTGATTGCAACAACTATCACCTTTCCATATGGGTTGTATATTTTTGAAAATTTTCCTCTTGAAACAATTGAATGTTTAACTGTGATCCTCGAATAACTCAACAAGTTTGCCTTCATATCTTTTACAAAATAGACATTTTCCAACGTAACCTCAGACTTTTGTCCATAAACTGGGAAACAAGTTTTAATATTGCCAACTTTTGTAGCTTCTAATATTCTTCCATCACCAACTTTTACTTTTATAGGTTTCTTCAATGTCTCAGAGGTTTCAAAATACTCATCGGTGTTAATGATATGATCTGTGCAACCACTATCAAGTAACCATTCTATTTCATCTATCTTTGACTTTTCGTTTTTACTTGTAGTATTAATATAAGTATTATTTGCAATGGTAGTCTGAAAACTATTTCCTTGATATTCATGTATGTTTTGATGATAATTTCCTCGCCCTCTCTGAAAGTTTCTGGCATTGAACAATCCACGTCCNTTTTTGTAACATAAGCGATGAAACCTGTGGTTTTTAATATCTTGATAACCTGTAATCAAAAAGGTATGCTTTTAGAAAAACAATACCTAATATGTTTGTTGTTGTAATTTTATAGTGTTGAACTTTTGTTTTTAGTTGGCTGAAGAGGGGCAATAAATGCCCGAAACGTGTGTAATATCAACACGTATCAACTGAATAAAAACTTGATGATAAGAATTGCCAAGTGCCTGAAAATAAATACGATAATTATTTGTGTTTGAATTACTACTAATAACTACAAGCACGGTTTCAAAAGTACCAAAATACATGCATTAAGTAAATATACAGGAATACAAGAATAATGATCCATAAATGTAAAAATAAATAATCTTAGTTGAATATATGAGTGTTGTCCTCAATACACTCATGTTGTAAGTTCACATATCATTTGGTTTAATGTGAAGAGCCTTTTTTGAGATTTAAACCAAATAACATTATTCGAACTTACAGCAGATGCATTGAGGACATCTGTATTTATCTATGATTATTTATTTTTACACTTTTGGATTAGTGAAACTTACTCTTGTATTATTCTTGCATATTTATTTTATGCCTGTATATTTATACTTTTGTTAGTTTTGAATTTTTATATTTTTTGTTTTCTGAGTTTTATATATTTCATTTTCATTACATTAAATCTGGTTCTAACATTTAACTTGTCATTTTGAATGTTAAAAATATATTCTTCTGTTTGACAGCAATTGCCATTCATTTGGTAAGCTTCACATAAGGAAGGTCAGTAAAATATGGCTGAAAACATTAGAAATTGAAGTGGCTAAAGCAAATTTTAAGGTTTTTGAGGTGTTTTTACTTTTCAACATTGCATTTCTCAGTAGTTACAAAATTAATTTTTAAAAATATCAATATTTTTAATTTCAACAAATATTGATTTTTTTATTTTCTAAGCATATTATGTAAAAGTGCCATCTAAATGAGTATTTTAAACTTACCTACATTTCAATAAAAAAATTATACAAGAGGTATTACAAGTATTTTAACTCTATACAATTATTATAATTTTAATAAGTATATTTTTAAAACCAAGATGGCTGATTTCGAGTCAAAGTCGATATCATTCAAATTAACAATATCTTCTACTTACATCATAGTAACAGAAAATATGTACTGTACCTAGCTTATATATTAGAAAACTTACTTATTTATTAATCATAAAAATAAAGACAAAGTATTTATGTCTAGTCAAATATTATTATTTGAGGATCATCCTCACTGAATGAACTCTTCAAATAAATGAATGGTTCTGCCAGTTACCAGTGAGGGTGCTATGAACACTTTTCAAGAGTTAACTATCTGGTCCATAATCTGTGAGATAAAAAAGGCTTGTCAAACTGTAATGGACCCAAGTAATCAAGATCCCATCAAGAAAATATTTTTATTTGTGGGATGTATTTTGGTCTTCACTAGCTACAATTATATAAATATAGATACCTGCAATATTTAGCTTAATAGTTAAAGGTTACATAGGTTTACTGCAATTGTTCATATATCCATTTGGTTACAAATTCTACTATGAATCTACAGACAGTTCAAACAGATAATTCATCATATGACACTGTGTTAAGTGGGTCTTTCACTACAGATCCACTTAACCTAATGTCATATAAGGAATTATTTAATTTAAACAATTTTAATGTTAGTACCAGACCTTATAAGTTGCATTAAAATCAAATAAAGTTAAAATGAAACATATAAAACTCAGAAAACAAAAATTATAAAAACTCAAAATATAAACATACATGCATTAGTAGTAATTCAAACACAAATAATTATCGTATTTATTTTCAGGCACTTGGCAATTCTTATCATCAAGTTTTTATTCAGTTGATACGTGTTGATATTACACACGTTTCGGGCATTTATTGCCCCTCTTCAGCCAACTAAAAACAAAAGTTCAACACTATAAAATTACAACAACAAACATATTAGGTATTGTTTTNATTATTTAATTTTATGGTAAGCAATATATAATAATATATGTAAAAAGCAGAAAAAAATGTAAAAAAATTCATGCAGTCAGAAAAAATAATTATGATTGTATATATAAATAACATTTTAATCATCATAATTTTGAAAATTTGACATGTTATTGAGTATAAAAATTAAAAAATTATTCATAAATCAAGAAACTAAATTAAATAAAAAAAATATTTTATCCTACTTTAAACTAGTCTAAGTTCATAAAATTCACAAGCTGAAGTTAATCTTTTATTAAATTATTTGATTGTCTAAATTACAAACAGTTTATTTACCTTTATTTAGCATTTGCAATATATAATCAAACCACAATAAGTGATCATTCAAGAGACCAAAAAATATTAACCAATTAAGCAAAGTCACTTCTTAAAAGGAGTCAATATATACCAAGTAACTGAATAAATACATATGCATAATACATAATAAATGCATACATACATATGCATAAAATTATATTCTTACTATATAATAAACATTTTTACCTTTGAATTTTAATTCTAATAAACACATACATAAAATATAACTAACTCATAGGTTATTGTGTTGTATAAATTATCAAAAATATTGATTAACTTTTGCTTTAAAACAACTATTAATGAAATTAATTTTATTTTCTAAAACTGTTAATGATCTAAAATCTTTATTTGTTATTTCTTGAATGGAAACAGGATAATGATATACTATCTCAAATGCTGCTAGAGCTTTTAACTTAATTTGTAGAGAAACTACATCAACATCTTTACTTTCTTTATTGTTCACATACTCATATTGCACAAAACTTTGCACTGTGGATATTATTTAACACTTATTTTGCTGTTTCTTATGGTAACCAAATGTTTCTTTTGTAAAACAAACTGAAGATGGTCCAATTAGGATCAATACACTTTTTCAAATAAAGTAAAACATTTGGTTACCATAAGAAGCAATTAAATAAGCACTTAAGTTCACATGTTCATTTTTCTCCTCCAACATATCATTTGTTAATTCTTCTATATAGACATCTGAACTTATTTCAATATCTTTATGTATGTATGTATGTATGTATGTATGTATGTATGTATGTATGTATGTATGTATGTATGTATGTATGTGTGACAATCTGACGGTGTTCTTGAGATAACTAATATAATTTTAACGTAATAAATAAAATATTTGATTTTCACTCAAGAATATAAAAAAATGATAAAATTTGGAATAAATTAACATAACCTAATAAGGTTATAAATTTTTACATCCTGCAAAACTGCCAGATTACTCAGCAGTTTAACCAGAACCGAGGATGTTTTGCTTCCTTTCTCCACGCCTCGTATCTTAGAATTTTGCACACCACTTGCTCAAATGTCATAACCCATTTCTTATAATCATGACATTGCAAATGATGGGGATAAAAAGGCAGGTTTTCAGATACTCGGGGCAGATCCCCCAGACTTGCCATAGGCAGTTCAATAGAAGTCGAACATGCCATAGAAAGTACTCCTCCAACGACTGATCCTGTCCTCCCAACTCCACTATCCAGGAAGAAATCAACGAGAGAAAGGTTCCCAACATGAACAACGAGGTAAAATTTATTGTAAAACTCTCTCTCTCGGGTTTAGCTTAAATAACATAGAGATAGGAATTATCCGTACATAGGTATTCCATATTGTTATTACTTTGTATTATGCTATTCCTTTGTATCCATTATATTGTAGTCTTGCTAGTAATAATTAAATTGTTAATTTTATATTTAATGTCCTTCTTGTCTGGTATTCATTCCTTATGCACAAACCCACACAGAATCTTACCACTCGGGTTCTGAGAAAAATTAAGCCATCCAGTGACAAAGTAAGCAGGTCTAACTGATCTGACGATTAGAGGGCCTGGACCCTCGTACGTATTCTCACATATGTATGTATATACAATATTTTTATTAGAGTATGATATCATTTATCTGATAGCTTTTTAACAAACTTAACAAGATATTGAAATCAGGGTCCCAACTGCAACAAAACAAATTCTCTTCTATTGTTTTCTCAACTGAAAATCTTGCAAGCTTAAAAGAATTTGCAATACT